GCTGGCAACCAGGAAAGTCAAGCTCGTGGCGGCATACCTCGCACCCACCCGGCCCTGGATTGAGTCCTACCTGACCGAGTGCTTCAGCGGGGATTTCCCGGTCCTCTTGGCTGGTGACCTCAACGCGAAACACACGGACTGGAATTCTAGGCTGATCTCTGTTAGGGGCAGGCTCCTGCGTGATTACGCCAACAGAAATTCCTGCTTGATCTACGGGCCGGATTCCCCAACCACGGCTCCCTACACACACAACGCCACACCCGACGTCCTTGATATTGTCCTCATCAAGGACTTCGTCCTACCGGTACACCTGACTGTATGCCCCGCAGCCAACAGATTATCTTTGGATTTTTTTATAGATGTTACCAGTCTCATACAAAAGGATAAATAACTTATAGAGACTCCTGAAATAAATGAGGTGACAAATTTCTTCAGAACTGAACAGTTTTGAAACACTTATATGCATTCTGACAGTCTGTTTAATTTTGCTATTCAAAGTAATGTTTTGAATGAGCACTGCTGTCTTTGGTATTGGTAGCAAATTACACAAGATCATGTACTACATCAGCATGCTCCATTTTGAAATATACTAGTGTTGTCACTTGCATTGTCATGCATGAATATTTTAAAATTTTCTGTTAGGAATGTATAGTGTACATTAAGAAATGAGATTCTCTATCAATTATACTTGAACCTGAGAAATACCATGGTTCTTATTGCAGCATCTTAGCAAGTCAGTGGAGCTGCTGAATGAGAAGTATGAAATTGTGCAGCTGAGCTATAGTCAGCAGCTGCTTCTTGTTTCAACATTGTACAGAAGCATTGTATGTTGTCACAGAGAGGACCGCTGGAAAGTCGCACAGGTTGGACAGAAGGAGAGAAAAACGTGAGTTTGTCTTAAAATGTTTTCTAGTCTTTGAAAGATTTTTTATCTTCATGAAATACATTTGATGTACTCTTGGTTTATTTAATGGTGCCTTCAGTTGCTAAAATTATATAATGTTGATTGATAGGGTGATTAATTGGAAAGGGTGTGGAAGGACATGGTCATAGCCTAATTTAAGTCATTATTCTAGCAATTTCCTAGATCTTAAGAAACCCATGAAGACCCTCATTCAGTAGTTTATCTGGACTGGGATTTGAAGTAGGAAATCATTTACCATACTGTTTTATATGATTTGTTATTTCCATTCATCAGGCTTGGCAGACTAGGAGCTACATTTTGCCTTGGTTCTGGACGTCCCCAGGAATTGGTGGTGTACTCAAGTAGACCTGGTCTGCGAGTCTGGCTTGCAGATAAGGATGGTCTTGTTCAGCAAACACTTATTTATAAGGTATATCAGTACAGAGTTACAAGAAATGTGTATAAAATTTGGTTTTAAGTCCTCTCAACAGAAGGAACACCTTAGATGACAGTCATAGATAACATTGATTAAAGAATAGAAGTAGAGAAGTAGATTGTATAAAGATAGGAAGTGGATTGAACTGGCTCAGGGTAGGGTCCAGTGCATTCTATTGTGAACACATTGATGAATCTTTAATTTTTTTTTACAAATTGAGTAACTATGTGACATGTGATTTGATATTCTCACAGCGGGGAAGATGTGCCTGGTGGTCTTCTGGGTTTGACACTGTTTGGTCTTATATCTGGTTATCAGCATTTTGAAGGAGCATCTGAGGATGGAGGTAGTATGTTCCTCCAAAATGTTGGTACGCATCTACAAGTCTGTATGGCATCAGAACTCAGAAGACCACCATGGACAACAATATGAAGTGCTCAAGGGAGACTCTGTATAGCATAGTAGATCACGTAAATTAGAATTGTAGCAAGAAGGTTTAGTTCCATGGTAATGTGTTTATTTTTTATTGAAATCTTGACCATTACTGGATGTTCTGACGGGGTCCTTGTTTTTTTTAGTCTCTCTAAGTATTGATATCATACCACCTTGTTTCTTTCTTCTTTATATATTGCTGTCATAATGCCCTGGTTTGGCACATTCTTTACCAGTATAGCTGTTGTTGCTTATTGAGACTTGCGTTGCTGCACAGTCAAGAAAGCATATTTATGTGTGTGTTTACAGAATATGTTGTTTTCCTATAGGATGCTATGTAGCGTATGCAATTGGTAAAGCATTGGTAATTATAGAAACAAAACAAAACAAAACAAAACTGATAGAAATCCTTGTTAAAACAGGACATCGTATACCCTGCTAGAATTTACTAGGTACGCATCTCAGTCCCCTTTACTGAAATATTTGGATTCATAGAACATAACAATGATTTATTATTGTCCTTTTCTGTCTCCAAACAGGATGCTGTGATGAAGGAACATACACACACACCACTCATCAATCCTGCTCCTTCTCATGTTAGGCAGTCTCGTGGTGATCACCAGTTTGGCCCTCTTCTGGTATTCCGAGAAAATCTCTTAGTGATCTACAGCAGTGATGTGGTGTATGTTTTAAACCCAGCAGCTATTACTGTGGTAGCTACTGTAGCAGATCTACGGGGAGTGCAGGACATAGCCGTTAACAAAGATGAAATATTTATCTTGGAAGAGGGAAGAAGTCTCGTTAGAGTGGCATACACACCAGAGAATACAGCTTCTTTAGTACAAGGTTGGTAAGTCACCTACATTTATGCATTAGTAAAGTGATAATTTTCTTTCTTATGATTAAAGACTACATAACTTTGATTCACATTTATTACATGATCAGATTATACACTATAATTCAATCAACAAGTTAAGAGTCATCTCCAAACTATGGTCTGTGCTGGACAAGGAATAATTGTTAAAATTTTCTAAGTAAAACAGCTTATAAAAAAATTTGTAATTCCTAAACTTATTAACATATCTAAATGATTTGAAGATTGGAATGTAGATAAATGTCCAGGGAACATTTGGTACTGTTTACATTGAACATTTAACTGTTTGTTATTATTAGTCAAACATAACCTAATTTCTCTTCAAACCACATAGTTTGTAAACAGGCAGTGCTTTGCTATTAACTGATGCATTGTTTCTAATATATTATTGCCAACTCTACTTTATTATCACTGTTATTCAGTTCAGAACCACTCTGCACAAGTAATTCCTCATGTACTTTGTCTTAGATGCCACCAATCCTTCTGTGGTTTGCCATCATTTTCATGAAATCACTTTATTTTTTATAATGGAACCACTAAATTCCCATGGTATCTGAAGTGTTTAGTTGATAAAATGAATATTCTTTGCCAATAAAAGTTTAAAAAATCATTGTGCATTAAGTTGCAGTTTTTGTTGCTGATCCCAGGCATTTCTATGAATTTTTGAAATAATATGCAACAATTTGCATTTAGTTAAATGTTGTGTATCACTGGGGCCCAAACATTATTCTGTTTGTAGACTTATTGCAGCAAAGGTTTATAGTTTTCCTGTTGTGAAATTTCATAGTTTGTAGGTTGTATGAAATATGAGATGGCCCCTTCCTTTCAGCATGTCTGTTTTTACTTTCTCTCTTGTAAATACTCTTACTTTCCTAATTATGTTATGTATATTACTGCAAACTGCCAATGCCAGTTTTTTGAATGCTAAGTTATATTCTGGTTTTGCAGAGTTTAATACATAATGTATGGATCTGCCTATTCTGACACTGAGACAGAATCAGCTAAGCATAGTTTTTGTGGAAAGAGCTTTATATTTGTATTAGATGGCACTGTTTCTGTACCAGTGTCAGTGAGATCCTATGCAGATTTTTACATGTTTTCCCTATACGTTACCTCTGACACAGAACTTTGGGAATGTGGCAAATGCCAGATCCCTGCTGTGGTACAGTATCATTGTTACACTGCAGATCATGTCTGCTGGCTGTTATTATGCTGTCATGGGGAGTAAATTAAAATATGTTATACAAATGCTTTTACCTTGTTTTTCTTATGTTGGAGAAGATGAAAAGGCCATTTTAAAATAGGGTATAGGTTCTTATTTATGATACGTGAGCAACAACTTCTGTTTCTTTCTTAATTTACACTGAATTTGCATGAAGATAAATAATTGAAGCTCCGGACTTGGTGATCTAACTTCTCGTTGATTTCATTAACATCATAGTTTGTATTAATTATGTAGTGAGTGTCAGACGCATTGACATCTCAGAAGGCTTCAATAAGAAGAAAGAAGTATTACACATAACTCCTTACAGATTTAGTGGGTGAGTATGTTTGATTCTTATGGTTTCACATCACAAAAATTTACAACCCCAGCAATTTAATAAAATTATTTTGATTGTGTGATAGTTAACAAGTGCTAAAGCAAGAAGTTGGAAATTACACAAAAGTATGTTTGACATTGTCATCAATTAAGTGACTGCCTTGTTACTGTTACATGGCATATCTTTGGGTTGTGGTTGGGGAGGATTGCCACTAGATATGGAAAGTAGCTGTAAATACTCTGAATAAACATTCACAGATGGGCAAAAGGAGCTTGGAAATTGAGTGGGAGGCTAACACCCTTCACCATAAAACACTAACATTGGATCTGGGATTGACAGTTGTGAATGTCATAATGAACCTTTGGGTTCCGTGAAAGGGAATATCTTTGATTAGCTGAGTGACTGCTTCTCAAGGACTGCTCCATGAAATTAGTTCATTACTTAATTAAGATATATATTTAATATACAAAATATTGCATGAGTTAGTTCTATACTTATTTTAAAGTGATTGGTCATTAAACTGACATTTTTTTCAATTTTACTGTTGTTTTCAATATTTATGGTGACAGCTGGGATAAAATATAGAATTCTTTGAATCCTAAACTTTTTGTGCTGCTGGCCTGGTGAATACATACAAGTTTAATACTCAAAAGGATCTAAGCTTTATATTAATCTGCAACTAATATTGAACATGACAAGAATATGAGATATGTCTATATAATGAATATTTTACCTAAAGCAGGAAGAGAAAGCCAAGTACGGAAACATTGCAACTTGCAATTATATAGGCAGAAAAACTGTGGTAGGATTGTAAAGAGGGTTGAGGGTCTTCTGGGAGAGAAGAGTAGAACCTAAGGGAGAGGAAGTAACAGGAGCTTCACATTTTGTACTATTTACCAAATAGCATTAGGTTGACCTTGGGCAGAACATGTAGCATGCACAGAAGACTAGAAATGTGTACAAAATTGTCATTGTAAAACATCAGGTTAAGAGACCACTTTGAGAGGCCAAGATGTAAATTGAGGGGCTGATATTAAAATGGATTGTAAAGAAAAAGCCTGTAAGGATGTGTACTGGATTTAACTAGCTTTTGATATGTCATTGTGACCATGGTAATGAATCTTCATGCTCTATAAAAGTGGGGAATGTCTTGATCAACTAAGCAACTATCAATTTTTGAAAAATGACACTGCACCATTGTATTTGTAAATTTATGATACATTGACTGAAATAATAAGTCTTTTGATATCTTAACTCTCTGTTTGGATAGATTTGAAAAGCCTGTTAATTATAGAAAAGGCAAAACTTTGAAACATTTGTATTATCTTCTGGAAAGCTCTCATAAAGTGCATAACAGCAGCATCAAGTGTCATTAAGCTATGATGTGTTTTATTGTAAAATAGTCATTAAATGTTTCACAAATGAGTGGCTGAGAAAAATGGACCATTGAGACTTCCGCAGTAAAAAAAAAAGAAATGGAAAGAAAGTAGCTGTATTTTGAACAGTGAATTCACTGTCTCTCACATTGTGCTGTTACCTATAGAAATTATGCTTTTAGCAATTACATAAAATTTTATGCTTTCAGAATTTTTGATTTGTGGTTTGCCATATTTGTCAACATATCAGGTCAGGCAAAATCTGCATGTTAATCATGGGTGTGTGGCAGCAGTCCAAAGTATCACATTACTTCTCTCATTGTTATGGTACAGCCATTTTGAAGTTTCTGAAATGAAAAAATACTGGGGAAGTTA